CAGCAAAAACAAGACCTGGAGCTGATTGTGGCTTTGATCATCAGGTTCTTATAGCAAAACTCAAGCTTAAACTGAGGAAAGTAGGAAAAACAACTAGGCTACTCAGGTATAATCTAAACCAAATCCCTTATGAATACACAGTGGAAGTGAAGAACAGATTTAAGGAACTCGATTTGGTGGACAGAGTGCCTCAAGAACTTTGGATGGAGGCTCGTAACATTGTACAGGAGGCAGCAACAAAAAACACCCCAAAGAAAAGGAAATGCAAGAAAGCAAAATGGCTATCCAACGAGGCTTATAAATAGCAGAGAAGAGAAGGGGGACAAAATGCAAGAGAGATAGGGAAAGATACAGAAAATGGAATGCAGACTTCCAAAGAATAGCAAGGAGAGACAAGAGGATCTTCTTAAATGAACGGTGCAAAGAAATAGAGGAAAATAATAGAAAGGGAAAAACGAGAGATCTGTTCAAGAAAATTGGAGATATTAAAGGAACCTTTTGTGCAAAGATGGACATGATAAAGGACAAAAATGGTAGAGACCTCATAGAAGCAGAAGTCATCAAGACGAGGTGGCAAGAACACACAGAGGAACTATCCTAGAAAGATCTGGGTGCCCCGGACAACCCAGATAGTGTGGTTGCTGACCTTGAGCCAGACATCCTGGAGAGTGAAGTCAAGTGGGCCTTGGAAAGCTTGTCTAACAACAAGGCCAGTGGAGGTGATGACATTCCAGTTGAACTATTTAAAATCTTAAAAAATGACTCTGTTAAGGTGCTACACTCAATATGCCAGCACGTTTGGAAAACTCAGCAGTGGCCAGAGGATTGGAAAAGATCAGTCTACATCCCAATCCCAAGAAGGGGAGTGCCAAAGAATGCTCCAAACTACCATACAATTGCACTCATTTCACATGCTAGCAAGGTTGTGCTCAAAATCCTACAAGGTAGGCTTCAGCAGTATGTGGACTGAGAACTCCCAGAAGTACAAACTGGATTTTGAAGGCGCAGAAGAACTATGGGGTCATGAAGAGTCGGGCATAATTAAACAACAGCAACAGCAACAATGTCTTTCAAGGAAATTATATCAAGAGGCAAGTCACTATTTTCATACAAGTGGGAATGAACTAATGTTACAGTTGTTTGCGTGACTGCTGGAACCTAGACTACATACCTTCATGCTTCATTGATGCTTCCAAGATTCTTGTTCTCAAGTTGGTATAATCCAGTGTTTCATTTAATCATTCAACTAATAAAATAGCCATGATTCTTTCGTGTGCAGTATTTTTAGAGGGAGATATACCCTGCAGCATTCCTGGCCAGCATTTTGAAAAGTCAACTGATTCAGCTATAGTTCCCAGAACTGTACAGAAGTTCTGGAAATTGTTGTCTAAAAGGTAACTTTTTCCTAGCCCTGTTCCTGGAGCATGTTACAGATAAACTGCTGTTATGAATTTCAGTGTATGTTCCATGACATCGTTGTGGCAGAAAATAAGCAGAGGCAGGGAGAGGAAAAAAGTTACTTGAACTAAATGTCTTGCTGGAATTCCAGATATGTAATGGTGCTCCATTAAGCACTGCTGTCTGGGCTTGCCACTGTTGTTACAAGGCAGCCTTATATACAAAAGATATTTTTTCACTTTATGTGAACATGCCTTTAAACTTATACATGTAACATAATTTATTTTTAAACCTGGATTGTGATTCTGTGCACACATTTTAGCAGACAGAGAATCTGTAGCTCTGTTTGGGAAGGAACTTTATTCTAACTAGGAGGTCAGGATCCAGCTTTGTCCCCCATTTCCTTTCTTTTTGTTCAGATTTTCCTGCATTTCAACTCTCGTCAACTTTTCTGCATTTCAACTCTCTTCAACTGTAGGTCTATATTAAATGTTAAGAGGAAGATGCAGTAAAAGGCTAGTAGCATTTGTTCCAGGTGCTCTGCGGTTCCTGTTGCTGTCGTGGAAGGGTTAGGACATGCTGTATTTGACTCCTTCCTCCTGCTCCCAGCGAACCAAGAAACAGGAAGCCATTTCAAATGAAATACGTTTGGCTTGTCTCCAAGGATTGTAAGGCTTATCTCCTGCCAGGCACCCTGAGGAAAATATAATCCAACGGTCTTTTCCTTTGAAAATTATTTTCCATTATTCAGGGCAAAAACAACATATTGGAATTATTAAAATCATAGCAAAATAGACTGAATTAATCAGAAATCAGTCTGCAGCTTCATTGAAAAATCCAAGACAAAGTCTTGAAAGCAGTAGGTCAGATCCTCTATTCCTCTTCCTGCTCATCTGCAACTTGGAGAAAGGACTGGTGTCCCCATTTCAGCAGATAATTTTAATCTTTTCTTTTTATTTTAAATCATATATTGTTTAATTTGTCTTTCAATATTTAACTTATTGTGTTTTTAATGGTGTGAATTTTAATGTTGTGAACTGCTTTGGGTCCCCTGTTGGGAGAAATACGGCATATACATAATATAATAAAATAAATAAATAAATAAAATGTGCCATCAAATCAGTTCTGATTTGTGGTAACCCTAGAAGGGCTTCCAGGGTATGTGGCCACAACTTTTCCCTAACACTGTAGTTTTGCCAGTGGCACCACCACCACCCCATCCAAGTGGGTTTCATGGCCAAGTGGGGAATCTGGTATCCAGTCTGCTAGGAAAATGCAGACATGTGAAGTGGCTGTTTTTCTAAAAAGCAACGTGGGAAATACCAAGGCCATTAAATAGTGTAGTGGTTACAGAGATCAGTCTGCAGCTTTTCCTTATTGCAGTATCTTCATGGTAGAAAAGAACATCCATCTCACAAAATTGTGTGAATTGTGTGGCTCTTACCAAACGACAGAATCCTGTTAAACATGTTTGGAGTATGAAGGCCTGCCACTGCATTAATGCAGGATCTCTGACATATGGAAAAATTGTCCTTGCAAGCACGGTCCCCTTTACAAACCACCAGTGTATACTTGTGCAATGGCGATATCTATTTGTGCAGTCTTTGTAAGGGTTATTTGAGCTATTATGTGAGCAGTTTGACCAAATAGGATCATGGTCACAGGAACATGGTTATTATTTTATAAATTCCCCTGAATGATGTAGGTGTTTACAGATTTAAGGTACAGGTCGTCATCATCATCATCATCATCATCATCATCATCATCATCATCATCATCATCATCATCATCATCATCATCATCAAGCAGCAGAGCTTGAAGGGAATTAATGGATCATCGAGTCTATCCCTTGTCAAGGAGGCACAGTGGGGAATCGAACTCTCAGCCTCTAGCTCAGCAGCCAGAAACCTAAGTCATTGAGCTCTAGACACTAGAAATGTCTGGGCCTTCCTGTCATTTTAAAAAGCTAGATATACAGCTTGGACATTCCAAACCTAGGTGGCATATATATACGTTTTGTATCTGCTGTACGCTGAACCAGAATTTCTTTTTTTTTTAAAGATGGCAATTAAATTATACAATTCAATTGTATTGTATAGTTATGCCTATTTCTGGGCATAATCTCATATGAATTGCCACCAAACTACACTTACCATCAGCTTTATAGCCAGGAGGCACTGTATTGCTTCGATTAGAATTTCCAAAGGCAGATCTATTCCAGAGAGTTGCCAAGTTCAAAGACTGCAATGGCAGAATATGCTACAATTGTTCCCCACTAGGTACCCTGCTAGGAACCATCTCATCTAGCTAGGATGAGTGTCACTGAAGCTACCAACATGAATTTGAGGCAGTGGAAGAGAGGAGGGCCTGGTGTGCTCTGGTCCATGGGGTCACGAAGAGTCGGACACGACTTAATGACTAAACAACAACAAATGTACTCTTAAAGGTATAGAAGTCTTCCCAAGGTTTGTACACAGTAAACATTATCTACAGGATTAAATGTTTAACCACATGCATTGTTATGATGTAGAATTAATGAGAGCATGCTTCCAGGCAGTACTTTTATTTGTCCATTTGGAACCCTCATATGCTTTCCTACTGCTTCTCTGTGTTTTTTCTTGCTGAAATAAATCCCATTACAGATGGCTTAGATCCATGATGTCTTTTGACTGGTAGTACTAGGAGCTGTTGGTTTGGATATTACCCTAACATGTTGAGAATAGCAGGGGGAAATGAACATTTAAACAGCAATTACCGTATTTTTCGCTCTATAAGACGCACTTTTCCATAAGACGCACCGATTTTTTAGGAGAAGAAAACAGGAAAATATAATCTGTTTTCTTCGCTCCATAAGATGCACAGACTTTCCACCCCCCTGTTTTGTGGGAAAAAAGTGAGTCTTATGGTGCAAAAAATACAGTAGTTGATTTTACTAGGAAGAGTTTCCTGGAATAAGGGTTGCAGAATTTTAACCCATTAGTAAATCAGCCAGTGAAAAACATGTCTTAACAGAGGTATGGAAATTGCTCACATTATTTTGGTTTGTTGCTATCTTTGTCAGAGCTGCTGTGATGCTATACGAAGCTGACTGCAGTGCAAATGTTCTTTTTCTTTTTAAATGGCAAGGATTGTTTTATTTATTTAACTTTTTAAAATTCATTTCATTTGTTTTCTATGCCAATGCACTATTCTGAGTGATTCACAACAATTAAAATAAAGTACAAATAACAGTAAACGTGTAAAAACTGCAAAAAGCATAAAGCCACCAACAAACAACAAAACCGTTGTTGTTTAGATGCTTGTAGTTGTACGCCTGTTTACATGTTGACATCTGCTTGGTTTGCAGTGGCCGGTCTCCGCAGTCCCTATCAATTGAACTGCTAAAAGAACATGGCTTCAGTGAAGCAAATCCTCCACCTGCATTGCACGCATATAACGTAACAGTGCCAGGTGCTGCAGCTGGCTGGTGTGATGCTGTTGCGCTGTATGGAAGCCAAAAGGTTAGTCCTTGATGGGCCTGTTGGTTCAAAAGTAGAATATACTTGTTTCATCTTTTGCCATCAGAAAGCAAACGTGGCATTACTTTTCAAAAAATATTGCAGATAAGCAACAAGAAAGTGATTAAATATACATTCTTATATTGTTTTGTTTGTTTTAAAAGAGCACCAACCAACAAAAGAACAGAGATCAGAATTAAAACAGTGGTTAATTTCCATAAACAGAATCGAACAAACTGTTTTGGTTTGCTTATAGAAGACTCATGGAGAAAATAAACAGATTGCCTTTGGAGGGCAGCCTGTGCTTAAGAGGCCCTCCTTCTTAGTATAAAAACTGGTCCAGCATATATTAAAGTTTAAACCTGAAGTGGCACCTTTCTGATTAGTCTAAAATGTTAGGAAGCTTTACATAGGAAAAGAAAGACCAACTGTAGCCATTTTGCTGCCAGAAGCAGAGTAGACAATCTGCCTCCATAATGATAAATAACTAATGTTTGTTCCTCCATCACGCCCCAAATATTTGGCTGATGTGGCTGCTTCACTCTATCTGATGTTAGGGCCGGCCCTGGGTGTATTCAGGCTTCTCCTACTCTTCCTTCCACTTCTTAAAAAAATTAATTGCAAAAGAGGCAGCTTTGATGAGTAAAAATGTGCATTGCAAATGTACCTTTAAAATAGAGCATGTCAGTGGGACTGGCTCATGTGCTGTATTATGCTGTTTTGAATTTCAGGAGGCAGCATTTCTCAAAGTTATCTTCCCTCTAAAGTACCTGAATCTCAAGGTTTTCATGTTTTCTCCTTCTTTACTAACTTCCTTTCTGCTTGGGAAGGCAGTAAAGCCCATTTGGGGGGACTTTCTGCTGTATCATAGCTTCTCTTCACTTGTACATTTCTGAAAAAGGAAGTCAGAACTTCTACCATCTTTTTTAGGGCCTCTGACTTGTAGGAACTGCTTCTGAAGCAGTTGCCCTTTGGGAAATTTCTTGCAGGGAAGACATCAGGATGTGTACTGTTTATTATTAATGTCTTGAGCAATTTTATTCAGCAGGCTAATCTGTGTAACGAGCTGGACCTTGGAAATGTTTTCAGTTAGACATATGTGCATTTGAAATCTGGAAAATAATACCAGTCTTTTCTGATTTAGCTTTCCATGAGAGATATTCTGCAGCCAGCAATAGAACTGGCAGAAAATGGTTTCCCTGTGTCAGAAATTACTTCATACCAGTGGAAGATGAATGCTTATGCTCTTCAGACACCAGGAAACAAACATGGGAAGGACCTGCTAATTGAGGGCCAAGCACCTGATCATGGTCAACTCTTCTACAATCCATTTTTGGCAAATACTTTTAAAGTAAGTGATGCCTTAAACTAGTGTCGCTGCAAGACTCAGGGTCAACACTGTTTTATAATTATAGAGAGTAGATATAGGAGAAGTTACTTTATGGCCATGCTGGCTGGGATATCTGTAGTACAAAAAAGCTGCATTTCCCATCTCAAGAAGAAATTCATCAATAGTGGTGGAGTCAACATATTTCCCCATATCTGTCGTCTAAGGAACCATATCCAGATAAGGAATCTACATTTCTACTTACCTTGTCCTCATGCTTGAGGACAAAAGACTGCAGAATTATCCTGCATGCACATAATAAGAGATCTACGGGTCCTCTCAGTAAGAATTTTCATATTGGTAGGAATGATTTTTGTGCAAATTGTGTGACTGCAGCTAAAATCCAGTCATTCATTGTAACTTGGGAAGGATCATTGAATCAGTTGGAATTTGAAGAGTCAACATCTATGTATGCATTGGTCCGATGAACCTATGCAAGTTGCTACTTATTACTAGATTTCAGCCTATCAGTGACTTAAAATTGTCACAGCCACTGCTGTGATGCATAAGTTTTTAAAGATTATAGGTAATTTGGTTGTGCCTTTTGAACAACCAAGCAGTCTTATACTAGTATACATGTGCTTTACTTCTATTTTTTTTGAATTTTTAAATTTTATTTCAACTACAAACACATATCTAAAATACAATACAGACACCCCAAACACCCCCCTTTGAGGACAGAGATTCAGACCTCATTACATTCCAGCTTTCCCAACCTCCAGAGAGCATTGAAAAAAAAAAGCCCATCAGTCATTTTGCCCTATCTTCAAGTCTGACCCTGGGCCCAAGCATGTATTAAGTTCCAACTTTGTTTTGCATAGTCTCTTGGTTGATCTCGTAGCGCTTCTGATAATGTATCCAGTTCTATAATATCCAACAGCTTCTTCAGGAGCTCCTCCATTGTAGGTACATCTTCACTTTTCCATTTTTGGGCCCAGAGTAACTTAGCTGCTATCAATATATACATCAAACAATATTTGATTTCCTTATCAGTAATTTCTGGCATAATATTTAATAATGCTATTTCGGGTTTAAAGTTTAATTTCTTTTGAATAATTCCTTTTGTCATTTCCCACAACTGTAACCAATAAACCCTGGCTTTTTCACATGACCACCACATATGATAATAAGTTCCTACTTTTTTTTTACATTTCCAACAGATATTACTGCTACCTTCTGACATTTTTGCCAGTTTCATAGGAGCATGTGCTTTACTTCTCAATGGGGGAAAAAACTCCACCAGTTGGCAAAATATTTTCTACAAATCACATGTCTTGATAGAAGGACAAGAGCTCCTTGTCTCCCTCTCATGCTGGAGACAAGGAATTTTGTGAGGCTTGAAAATTTGTCATATTGAGATAGCCTGGATCAGTGAGAATGAATAGTGAGAATTCTTCAATGCCTCCCTCTAGCTATCTGTGGCTGTAACCATGTATGCGCTGGGTCACATGTTACTGAAGCACTCCATGCAGAGGCTCAGAGAACATTATGTGAAAACTTTGGTTTAAAGTTTGAAGGGACTGCTAATTGCTTACAAATATCATGCTTTCAAGCTCTTGTGAATGTGGAGTTGCTCATGGGTGATTTCTGGATGTCTTGTGCCTTCTTGGACCAACTTCTTGTCAAAATTGGAACAACAACTTTGGTGTTCACTAGATTTTTCAGAGCTAGCTAAGATTTTTCCCTTTCAAGCACTTCTACGGTGCCTTGCCGTCAGACTGAGAATGGCATCATGCTCAGTCAAAGCACTGATGTACGTAGGAAGTTGCATTTTTATTCCGAAAACCTGTTTATGGTTCTAACAGTCTTCTGAGAAGCAGAGCTTAATAATTTGAGTTTTTAAGTCTGCAATGTGTATTTCCAGATAGCAATGGCTGCTGGAAAGGTGGGCTGGGGAATCTGAGAGCTGCAATATCAGAATCCCAATTTTGCCAATTCTGAAGAGTGCTGGTTTGATAATGTTGCCAACCCTTCTACATTTTGGGTGAATGTATGAAATTTAGTGCAATGAAAAAAAAGAAGAGAAATCTAGTGTAGTGTAAACTCGCCCCACACAAACTTATAAAGCTTGATGTGCAAAGTCCTAGTGTTGCAGATTTTAGTCAAGCAGTTTCTGCCCTGGTGTTTATAATGGACATGTTCTTTCTGTGTACTGATTTGGACGGGATGTTGGAAGCATCAAGAGAGAGTGAACACAAACCAGGATAGTGGAATTAGACCCCCATACTTCTGCCCACCCCCAGCACCATCTGGGTTTCTTGGTAGGAAGCGAGACTTCATGTCTGTGAGAATAATAAGGTCTGATATTTATCCACAGACCAAATGTTTCATGCTATGTGGGGAAATTAATGGGATATGGCAATAATGTACAGTAAATTTAATTTTATTTCCACAGTAATTGGATTTGCTTCCTGGCTAACTTGGTTTTGATAAATGTAAGAGATTTGGAGGCCCGGTCTAGATACTCTTCAGCAGAATCTCTCTTTTTCATTTTTAGCTAATTATAAATCTCAATATCCTGAGCTAACAAATGTTGTATTTAATCTTATTGTGGAAATAATGTAATGCTGAAAAGCTGTTCAGAGAGTGAATGTCACAAAACCCAGTAAATAGAAAAAGAGTGAACTGAATAGATTTAGTCAGGTTACTCTGATTCCCCATCCCCTTTTGCTTACTCCCTTATGCGTCCATTGCCCAACATACATTCATGTAATTTCATCAACTATTATGCCTGGTTGTGTCCTCCTCCACTGATTTGCATTTACATTTATGTTGTTTTTACATTGAAGAGCAATGAGTAACATCCATCATGAAATTACAGATATTTGACTATTATTTCCTATATGTTTAGTATGTGAGCAGCCTGTGGGCTGAGAATTTTTATTGCTTGTTTTCATCTTTACAAGTACCGTTTATTTGTACAGGAGAAACATGCTTTAATTTATTCATTAGTCAAGAGTGTCAGAGTGCAGAAGTAAGAACTAGGATGCCCAATAGAGAGAAAACGATAGATCTAAAATAGATCTTTCTAAAGTGCAGTATTAGCAATCAAATATATCGTTTAAATCAGTGTTTTTCTTTTGTTTTTCTAAAAGGTAGCATTCATATAGAATCAGTATCTATTTATTTGTTTTTCTGAAGGAGTATGAGAAAAGAAAAGGCTAAGAAAAATGGAGAGGCACACATGGGGTTAAATGGGAAAAAGAGAGCTATCCCGAAGAAAGAGAAAAGGAATGAAAAAGGAGCTTTTCCTGTCATGTCTGCTGTGATCTGGGAGTTCTTGTATAGACCATAGAGATATAAGAATTGTTCTTTGATAGCTGGCTCTCTCCAAGGATTGCAACAATTAAAAACAAATGCAAAATTTCCTCTTCCCTGCCCTCCAAAAGAGAGCAGAGCAGAAGTTTTCCATTTCTCAAGATCATCATTAAGAGGCAAGATTGTTAGGAGGCTTCTCCAAATTAACAGCCAGCCAGCTGCTTTAATTCAGTCTCAGCGATCAGATAAGCTGGAATTGAACTAAAATGGAGTGATCCTATATGCACCTAAAAACAGTAGCCCCTGACAGAGAGCCAGAAAGGTGTGGGTAGAAATGCTCTGGAGACAGAATCATAGAGTAATTGACTTGGAAGGGACCTATAAGGTCATTGAGTCCAACCCTCTGCTCAAGGCAGGAATCCAAATCAAGGCAGATCTGACAGATGGTTGTCCAATTTTCTCTTGAATGCCTCAGGCAATGGAGCTCTCTCCACTTCCCTAGGCAATCCCTTACAGATAAGGAGTTTTTCCTGATATTCAGCACACTGGCTTTCTGTAGCTTGAGCTCATTATGTGTCCCTCACTCTGGGATAATAAAGAACAGATCCTGCCTCTCCTCAAATACCTTTCAAGTATTTGAAAAGTGCTACCTTATCTCCCTTCAGTCTTCTTTTCTCAAGGCTAAACATGCCCAGTTCTTTCAGTCTTTCCTCATAGGGCTTGGTTTCCAGTTCACTGATCATTCTTATTGCCCTCCTCTGAACTTGCTCAGGTTGGTTGGTATCCTTCTTAAAGTGTGGTGTCCAGAACTGGACACAATATTCTAGATGAGGCCTAATCAGTGTTGAATAAAGGGAGACTGGTACCTCAGGGAATGGTTTGTGCTGGCATTTAACATCATCTGGTTGCTCCCAAAAGGAGTAGGTCAGCCCATCCCCAGAGCAGACCCAAGAGCGGGACAAAGGCCTGTGTAGTGAGGCACCTAGTCAGGGTAACTGAAAATAGGGGACAGACAGCTAGCAGAGTCATATAAAGTGCCCTTCAGCATTTACTTTCTGAGTACAAAATAGTATTTAAAAAATAGAGCTGGAGGAGAAGAGAGGACGAGTGCTTTAAGACTGAGAGGTCTTACTCCCTTTTGTTCAAAGGTACTCAGGTGTTCTGTAGTTTATCCTCCGGATTTTTCTCCATAGACAAAAATGAAAGAAAGAAAGGGAAAACATGGAAGGCTGCAAATAGAAAATGATAACATAGATTCTTCATACGTTCTTCCAAAGGGAAGGAAAAAATATGACTGTAGGAGATCAGTTATCTGGAGAAGATAGGGAAAAAACCCTTCATTGGTAACATAAACTGAGGATGCAATCAGACAGTTGCAAAGGCACTGTCTGATTGCACTAGAAAGGGTCACTTTATCAGGAGCGATCTCCCTTAAAGTGACCCTTCTATCTACTAGGAAATTGCTCCAGCTTGGCCCCAAAAGTAGACGTTCTACAGCTGGAATGAAAAAGGTTCAGTTTGCACATGGATTGGGGTTGGGCTGGAAGACATTTCCCTATACATCCCATGATCACTGGGAAATAGATTACACCAGACGAGAGATAGGTATGAACCGCCGGTTTGTGCAAGTTAGTCCTTCGAATGAACAGGTGTTTGGCAGTTCCCAGCCCCGCCTCCTCCAATATGTGTTTGCTCAGAGGCAGTGCCCAGAGAAGATGGGGCAGGGAAGCCAAGGCGCTGCCTCTCAGTGGGTGCCCACTGGAGGAAGGGGAGCCAGGGAACTGCCAAACACTTGTTTATCCAATGGATGAACCAGCATGAACTGCCGACCAGCAGTTCGTGCCCATCTCTATACCAGACTGCTCTAGGGGCAGTGCAGACTGTGATTTATTTTTCTATGTGATTCTACCTTTCTACTGGAAAGACTTTGGTTTTAACTTCTTGCTTACAAAAGATGAAGGCTGTGACTGGGGCACTGATCCAGGTGTCCACCTGATAAAGCACATTGTCTGTTAGCCCTGGAAGCTAATGCTTCAGCCCCTGTTTTTGAGTATTTGGGATTATGGATCTGTTATCGGGAACTATAAAGAAATTATTAAATTATAACATTGTGTATGATTCACCACTTCTTAGTGTTTTGCTTCCAACCAGTGTACGTCATATATTCTTCACTAGGGGGTGCTGTATAAATAAGCAACAGGCCATTTGGAATTTATTTTCATTAAGGATGGAGAGGATTTTTTAAAATGTTCCCTGCTGCTTATCCAAATAGGAATGGATATTTAAAATACTTTAAATAAATATTACAGTATGTAACTCCAACTTACAGTAAAACAATAGAGAATATTTTAAAGTGACAATTGTTTTATTTTAGTGCAAAGGGGCACAAATACTGCATTTTAACTGGATATTTTATGGTCCATGATGTTTGGAATCAATGCCCTGGGATGAGCAGGATCTCCCATATAGTTTACATTGCATAAGCACTGAGCCTGTCTTGGTGTGCTAATTGCGCTCTGTTAATATTTAACTGTTTGGTACCAGGTGGTAACTTGGTACATAAAGGATGGTACAGTCTTCGATTAAACATGGGGAATGACACATACCTTTTAGTCTTGTTGGTACCAGGAACTAATAATTTACATCCTCTTTGATTGCTGATATCAAAGTGACGCTTCCTTGGAACCAGATCAGGAGTCACAGAGAATTTCCTCTTGCCCACATAAGAAGCAATTATATTCTTTAGTTTTTGAAGGTATTTATTTCTTGTGCACACTGTAATATTAAAGGGGCAGCTCACCTTTTTTGCTTGCTGAATGAAGTTCTACCACAAATGTAGTTGGAATCAAACAGTGTTCTACTGCCAGAACTCCACTGCTTCCACCAGTAGAATTGGGAAGGGTATGATCCCCTCTGTGTCCTGCAAACCCCCAGGCTGTGGAGTGCTCTGGAGTAGATTTTGGCATCACAGAGGGCTATAGAAGGAAGAGAAGTGGAAGAACATCCTGATTGCACTGGGAAAGCAGCAGAATCTAGCAGACGTACATTGTTGAAACTTGGCTTGCACTGGGAAAGCAGCAGAATCTAGCAGATGTACTGTACATTGTTGAAACTTGGCCTAAATCTAATACATATAAATCTAAATCTAACACATATAAAGTTATTATATTCTACCCTAAATCTAATACATATAAATCTAAATCTAATACATGTAAAGTTATTATATTCTACCCTTGAATTGTGGTGCTGGACTGCAAAGCGAATAAACCTATCCATTCTAAAGGAAATCAACCCTGAGTGCTCACTGGAAGGACAGATCCTGAAGCTGAGGCTCTAATACTTTGGCCATCTCATGAGAAGAGACGACTCCCTGGAAAAGCCTCTGATGTTAGCAGAATGTGAAAGAAAGAGGAGAAGGGGATGACAGAGGATGAGATGGTTGGACAGGGTCATCAAAGCTACCCACATGAATTTGACCCAACTCCGGGAGGCAGTGAAGGACAGAAGGGCTTTGCATGCTCTGGTCCATGCGGTCATGAAGAGTCAGACATGACTAAATGACTAAACAACAACAACAACCCTTAAATGAATGCAGAATGTGAAAGAAAGAGGAGAAGGGGATGACAGAGGATGAGATGGTTGGACAGGGTCATCAAAGCTACCCACATGAATTTGACCCAACTCCGGGAGGCAGTGAAGGACAGAAGGGCTTTGCATGCTCTGGTCCATGCGGTCATGAAGAGTCAGACATGACTAAATGACTAAACAACAGCAACAACCCTTAAATGAAATTTTTTTTCTGGGATGGGGGGAATGACACCAGATCTCATGAAAGGCTTGTTTTCATCAACAAGATTGGTATAGTAGACATAAAAGGACAAAACCAAGATTAAGCATTCTCTTGGGCTCAGGCTTTCTCTTCTTTACCAAGCAGTGTGGTTCCAGTTTGCAGGTGGAATGTAAGCCATCGTTTTTGAATTTGGATGGAATAGGAAATTGTGCTTGACCATGAATCAAGAAATCATCAGAAAGGGGGATATCAGGGAGATGAATGACTATGAGAGTCCAGGATTTGCTCAAGTAATGGCTGATAATTGTTGAACTAATCTCTTTTTGCAGAGCATAACTCTTAGTTTTCATACCAATTGCAATCTAACTTATGGCTGTAGGTGCCCATAAGACATATAAAGTTGTGTTAGGCATTTCCTTTCTAATCCATTACTTCTAATCTGGATCCTTCAGGGGAAAGGTGGTATATAAATAAATTGGATGATAATTCCATTGAAGTTTGTATATCAGAAATATGCAGAAATTGGGAATGACTGAAAAAAGATTGGCATGCTAAAGATCCAATAAACTGCTGAACTGTACTCTCAATGTTCTCTTAATACTTCACAGAATACTTACACATGGTATTCTATGTGGCACTAATAATACATGCAAGCTTGATTGTCTTTTTTTCTTGGGAGGTTTCCACAGCAAATTGGCTCATTCTTGCAAGGGCTGATGAGTCTTCTCAAGAGTGCCTTTGCTCATGCATGTGTAATGTCAGAGTAGGTGTTCTGACTTTTTATTTTATTTTTAAAATTTTTGTTGGTGTTAAATCTAAATTGTACTCTACAACTGCCGTAAGTGCCCTTTTTGTGACAGCCATTATCCTTTGGGTGGTTGTTTGTATTAATTGTTGTGCCATGTAGATTGGATGAACCCCCCCCCCTTCTATAGAGGTGCAGGTGTGTGGTCACAACTGCTACTTGGGGTTTGAAAAGGAGGACTTGGTGTTGTTCTTATACTGAACCCGTTTTCATGACGTATTAGTTTCTATTACACCAGCCTTTATTGCTATATAATTTGACTATTATCGGTAGTTGATGCATTCGCCATAAACCACCAGGAAATTGCCAAAGGTCATGGTGCGTTATTTAAAGAGCTAATTGTTTATTACTTTAATCTGGTATCTGTAGTTATTTCTGTAACAGTGTGCATGTCTGGTAGGAAGTGTCTCTTTTTCCGTAGGTTTTTCAATGGATTATTAATGCTGGTATCGATTTTCAGGTTTTCATTAATAATGGGAGCCATTAAAATACTGTTGATGACTAAACAAATGCCATTGTTAATTTTGTTCATCTTTTTTTTCTTGAAACCATAATGCATAAAAGCTTTAACTCAAATGCGCTTGTCAGAGGTGGATTAATGAGATGAGACATTCATGAAAGCTGGAACTGCTAATCAATGACTTCTCTACTAGGTGCATCACTTAATGGCTGAAATTCTGTTGTGCAGTCATGTAAAAGACTTTGGAAGCAAATGGCAATTAAATTATAAAATCTCCATAGGCATTATCTATTGTAGACTGAGCTGTTCAACTCTGTGTGCAAGAGATAATGCCTATGGAAATTTCTTAATTTATGATAGTTTGCTTCCCAAAGTTATGCTTTTCATGTGACTGGACAACAGGATTTCAGCCATTTATTGGTTGATTACTATTTAGGTAGGAATATAATGAAATGCCTCAATTTTAAGACTTGGTTAAATGTGGAATGCTCAGTTGTATCTAAAGTCCCTGAGAGATGTATATTTCATAGTAAATCAAGATGATCCAGTTGTATTAGTAAATTTAAATTAATCATTCTTTATGCAATAATTGATGCATGCATGAGAAATCTTAGAGGACTAAATGAAGGATTTCTACTTTGAAATAGTCTGTGGGCCATTATTTCAATAACAATCAACCCTACCGGCCCATGGCTGAAAATGAAGGGTACTTTTATGCAGGATTTTCTGTATTGGCCACCTGCAAGCTCAGTGATCACATTATTAGTTACTAGAAGACTCTGGAATAGCAATAGAGTTAGTGGGAATGGCACTGTCAAAATTTTTAAAAACTCTCTCCAGTCAAAATGCAGGTTAATAATGTTTGATTCCTATAGCTCTAAAATGCAGTGATTGATGGGGGAAGTTCTCAGTGCTGTTATCTTGTTGTGTAAGATTAAATTCTTTTTCCAGGAACTGGCAAAATCTGGCAGACAAGGGTTCTATGAAGGCCGTGTAGCCCAAGCTATTGTGGATGTCATTCAGAGTAATGGTGGGGTAATGGATTTGGAAGATCTGAAAAGCCATGGCACTACAGAACTCAAACCAATTGTCACAAATTATAAGGTATGCCAGAAAACCTAATGTTCAAAACTCACACAGATCATGAGCTGCATTTTGAATTGATGGCATCCAACTGACCCACAATCTACCGAGTCCTGACAGAATGTAGGTAAAAGCTATCATTCTAAAACTCATGTTTTACGGACTTGTGATACCATTTCAGAGAGATGAACATTAGAAGCCCTGCTTTCATCTCTGTGTCAGTTTCAGTGTGAGCCAATGGAGGATTTCAAATATGCTCCTTACTTTCATATTGAATTCTCCCATCCACCCTCCTTTTCCTTTGAGGCCTACTAATCACTGGTCTGTGAAATCTTCCAGTGGTCCTTAGGAAATCTAAATGCAGTTACCTGGGGAAAGTACATTTCGCGAGAGCCACAGAGGACTGGTGCCAAAGAAAGGAAGTATAGCTGAAGCACCACCAGTGAAGACATGACATCTGAAGGAGGCAGGGGTGCTTTGTGGAGAAAGGGCTGGGTGTGTGGGAGGGAAAGGCCTTGCGAAGTTATCTTTGGAAATAAGATAAGCTATGTTCAGAGTTCAGAGAAATCAGTTGCAAGAACAGGCCAAGTTGTCCATCTGTTAACTCTGTTCACCATTCCCATCTGAGAGCAACTGAAAGTACCCCTTGATGCAGTTAGCTCTAAGCATCGAATAGGAGGGTCAAGCAGATGCTTGATACATATAGTAAGACTAATTTGGGTCCCCCCAAAAAAACAGAAGAATCAGGGGCATATTTGGTATGGCAGGCCTACTTTTGTGCTCACTGCCTGCCCCCTTGAAAGATCCATAAATGAGAACACTTTTTTGTGTTTCATGCTGTACTTCACGGCAGTATCTTTCAGCCACACTGCCAAAATCAGGAAGAAAAAGGAATTCCCTTCATTGTTGGAACCCTGTGCTCTGAATTTTATAACCTTTGTTCTGTAATCTTCCTCTATGTGACTGAGAAGTGAAACTATCTGGCAAGCTTTTATCTTTTGCCTAGCTTGCCAAATGAGTACAGATTCTACAACTGTGCATTGGTTGTTCCCCCTGAAAATGTCAGAAATATAAGGTTGTAGGTTATACCTTTAAAAACTGAATGTACTAGGGATGGTCCAATATATTTTGCTATCTAAAGTGAAGGATAAAAAGATAGTCCCCACCCATTTTCCATACAGAAATGAGCTAGAGTGACATTTAAATCTACATAAGCAGTGGGACTGTCTCACACCGAAAGACAACGAGATAATGTAGGTGACATGCTATAGCAGTAACAGGCAACATGCAACCAGAAATGTTTTTAAAGTTTTGAAAAAAAGATGGGGCTCAGGAAGTCCATTTGTGCTCTTGAGGGGGGTATGTGGAAACGCTTGCCATGTTTGGAGGGCCCCCACTGCTTGAGTTAAAAATGACCATTCAGTTAGCTCCTTTCAATTGGTTGAAGTTATTTGCATTATTGTATATGAATTAAGAGACGGCCACTTTATTATTTGCAGTTCCAAATAATCGTAGGGCTGTTGCGAGAGTGACAACTATGTGGGTCAGCCACTGTGGTCTGAGGAACCATGACTCCAGTGTTCCGATTTAAGAAAAAAATCTTAGACACCCACTTATTAGCAAAGGTGTAGCCGGTTTTGTCGCTGGGGCTTTCCAAGACTGCCAAGAATAGCATCTTTTTAAGTTCAGGTTTAGTAATAAAATTATTAGTCATGTTAGGAGCATTCATGAGCACACACACATACACACACACAAGATTATGAGCACTGTGTTTAAACAGAGGAGCAAAGGCTTGTAAATTAAATATAGGCGTGTTGTGTATAAATTTGGGATGCTGTGTGCTGACATTAACCCTTAGTCTTTTGAAATTCATTGCTGTCATTGCTTTCACTGCAGTTATTTATTTCAGAAGTGCATATTTCTAGATCTATTGTTTCTTGATGTAAAGTAAATACATGTTCAATGTTCATATGAAAGTCTGACATTGCTCTTTGGTAGATTTGAGTACTGAATCTAGATGAGGTGGTAGTCATTATAAGTCATAGTTAATATATACTGCACCATACCAGTGGTATTCAGAAGCTGCTGCATCTAGGTAACCTTTGTACTATTTGGTGTTGATCCAATGACACAGAAAGGGGATTCATATAGAAATTTGTCAGCTATCTTTGGGAGAGTTTCTGTTTTTTTAATTGCATTATTAATATTCAGCATAAAGTGATATAGTTGTGCTTTTTTCAGGGTCTGAAAATCTGGGAAATCCCTCCAAATGGGCAAGGAATCACAGTTCTGTTAGCCCTGAATATTTTAGAAAACTTCAATGTGAAAGGTATAACCGTTTTCTCAGTCCTATGGTATATGTTTTCAGTGGAGGAACTATCAGTAATCTGAGATAGACAGATGGCATCATAGTACCCACAGAAATCAGCAATGACTTGAAAGGACTACTGATGAAAGTGAAAGAAGAAAGTGCAAAAAGAGGATTACAGTTGAATATTAAGAAGATAACTTTATAAAGGAAAAAGAAACCCCTGAACAGGTTCAAATGGAAGAGGAAGGGAAAACAAATCTAATTCATCTACATTTATATACATTTATGTTACCATAAAATGGGACTCAATTACAGAACCCTTTTACTACAGAAGCTATGAGAATATGGTGAAGAAATATGGAAATCCTTGTCCCTCTGTGATCAGGTTCTTCATGTTTTGGTGGCGGTTCCCTCATTTTGGCGGGAATAAGAGACAGAGGTGATTTTAAAAATTCAACTGATTCAACTTTATTAACTTCAACATCCAGATTAATCAAATTAAATGAATCTAAATAACTCAATTCTGATAAAGTCTTGTAACTCAAATCTTTGCCCCAGGAGTTAACACCTCATTCCTCACATTGGGGCTGGACCAAATCGCTCTCGATCCGTCATTCTTCTCAATGGGGTACTCCTGACCACACACGCTGTCCTGCAACAGGTGTGTCACGCCCAGTCCCCTTCTAGAGGCGGAACGTTGTAAGAGGGACTGAGACGAATCGTTTTCCTCCTCCCCATCTTGGTTGCGGGGGGTAGACTACTACAGTCTATTCTAGGAGTGTGGTTCCCTTCTTTTCCACTTTGGGTAGCTCCGGATCTGGCAGTAATCCTCCGCCAGTCTTCAGATTGGGGAAGTCTTTCAAGTGATTACCGACCTTAGCTGAAACCTCTTCCTCTCTTTCTGTCTGTATTCCACAATCTCTTGTCTTGCCCCCTTGCCATTCTGTTTAAATACTGAATTCCTGCTTCTCCTCCCGCTCTTTTATTACCTCCTTCCATACTATCCTCCCCTTTCTCCTTCCTTGATCTTCTGATAAACACACCTCTATAACCCTCCTTTCTGTCACCTCCTCTTTTCCTATATCTATAAGTATCCCTTCTATGCATCTGTAAGAGAGCAGCACTCAGGGTGTTATTGGAAGGATGAGTGGGGCTGCCGCTGCAGCAGGATACATGAGTGAACAGTCCGGCCACAGGAGCTGGACCCTCGTTAAGTCCAGCTGCACGGGGATATACATGCTGGTATACAAATATGAATGACCCCATCTCTAATGACGACACATGAGAACAATATAATTCCTGTATTTATTGGCAATTGTAGATCAGGGTGGGCAAACTGTGACCTATGAACTGTAAGGAACTCCCCAAGGCCCACCCCTGCACCTGATTCTTAAACCTTTGCAAGATTTTGCCCCAATGGCCGCTTGTGCCATCTAGAAGGCTTGGGAGCAATGTTGTCGTTTCTTGAAGAACTCGTAGGATCCCCACCCTCCCTTTTGGCACTAGAGGGCACAAGAGAACCTTTTCAGCTTAACTCCTCCCCTTTTTAAATTAAATACTTTTTTCAGTTAACCCAGTCGCATTGCAACAACCTTTACAGCACATAATCTCTACATGAAACAAACTTTAAACACCACCACCACCAAGAACAAGAACATATGCAAATTAGCCTTCGGGCAGATGCTATCCTTTAGCCTCTCCCCTTAGAGTATGGCTCAAAAGCTTCTGAGAATTGTTTCTTGACCCTCCTGAATTTTCCCATTTGTGGTGTAAATAATTGTATTCATATATGTATATGTATATAATAGCTGACACCACGTAGAGCTGACACCACTTTAGGCTGGTGGTGTAATCAGCTGTGGCAATTTTTCTGAAATAAAATGTTTCCAGTTTCCTCTCTCAAGGTCTTGAGGCACCCATGGTTGTTGCAGAAGCTACTGGGGACTGTGGGACAGGATTTTTTAATTTCCAAAAATTGCTGTGACTTATGACACCCTTAGCCTTGCCTAATGCAAATTGTGGAACAGGATTTAGCCATCACATCTGTTGAAAATATCTGTTTATGTTTCCTTTGATTAACATAATATTGGTTTCTTTTGTAGAAATGGGTCATAATACTGCCGAATATTTGCACCTTCTAACTGAAGTTCTGAAAATCAGCTTTGCTGATAGTTTCTGGTTCTGTGCAGATCCAGAAAAAATTCCAGTACCTACAGCAAAACTCCTTTCAAAATCTTATGCCAAGGACCGTTCAAAGCTAATTGATTTACAGAGGTAAGGTCTGTTTGCTTTCACTATGAAAATAAGAAGTGCTATGATCCTGAAATATGAAGCAATTCTTTTTCATTATTATTGATTCCTGTGTCTATATTAATTAGTTGCTATAGTCTTGATGCATTCACAAGTTATTGTTCTGTCTGTTTCATTTCTTATGGCCAAGATCCAATTAGCTATACAGATGCTTTTGCATGCCCAGTAAAATTACTGTCATTTTCCCTTGAACTACATGCCTCAATGCAGTATCGACAGGTGCTTTTGGAAAGATCCTTCAGTTTCAAAGTTGTTGTTGGAAGAGGGAGGTCTTCTCTTTGGGGAATCCAAGCATGCAGAAGTCACTGCCCAGTTCTTTGCGTCCCCCAACCTGTAAACTCAGTTCTACCTTGTGATGTGTTACCTGGTACAAAGTGTAGAGTGCAGATTCTTTCCTTGTTATATTTTCATTCGCTTTATCTAATAGATAAACGATTACACGAACACCTGTTAACAAGGACACAACATTCTTCCAACTTTTCAAAACACTATTGATGAGTGTGGCATGCAAGAGGTAGAGTGAGTGGGTATGCATATTGGAAGAGATGAAATCAAAAGAAATAAGTGTTTTTGATTGGTGTTGCCCGTTTAAAGAATGTCTCGGAATAAGATGCTACCAGGCAAATTCCCTCTTTAACAGAAGTGCAGCTTTTCAGTGTTTTAGTTGGTCTTTCCTTCTGAGTAGACTATTCATCTTTTCACCAAACATCCCTTGGCTACAGAGCATCTGTACTGGATGAAATCTTGTTGCTCAATGTAGTGAGTCAAAACTAGCATAGGCCCATTGAATCAGTGGGAGGTTGGTGAATCAACTACTTTAAATGCTCTACTGATTTGATAGGCAAAAACAACAGGATTTCAAACACTCTGTCTTAGGAATCAGGCGGCTTCTTATGGAGAAGAACGTGTTGATGCCATAGGATGTTGATTTTAAAGTTTATATTTCTGAAAAAGAAACAACTTCTGGAAACCTCCAGATTCCCTGGGGCTGCTAGTGTCATATCTGGTTTCTCAGTGACCCATTTTGACTCTATCATTTTGGGTATGGCTTGCCTGACCTTCCTTGCAGCTGAGAGAGTGATGCTCTTGAAAGGTATGTGAGAAATATGTTGCTGGAATGAGGAAAAGTCTATTTGGTACTCCCAGGAAGATCTGTCTGTAAGAGCCAATAAAACTCCTTAGTGCTGCATCCACAAAAAAGCTCATGTTTTAATGTGATGTTTCTGTGGCTTCTGCATTGGAATGTGGAGGTGAGGGGTAGAGAGCACCAAGAACACCCCCATGCTTAAAAAAGCGAAGTCTTTTATATGCACAACATCAAAGATTATAGTAAAGTCTGAAGCTGATCATCATGACTTTGTCCAAGATAATGGAACATTTTCCCTTTAGCCATACACTTAAAATGGGTCTGAAACCCTATGGGATCAGTGCCTATAGCAGGGCGTAATTGATTCTCTCTCCCTCTCTGTGTGTGGCAGTCTAAATAAGCATCAGTGTGTGCTAACCTATATTTATGTTCTTTAGATAAAACTGTTTGCTTAAATTTGCTGGCAGCACTGTGTCTGGGTTCCATTTCACAAGATATGCAAAGGAAATATGATGATGACAATGATTACTTAGCTATGAAATATGCTTTTGTTATTTCCTGTGTCATTTTGTTCTATCTTTCAAGATGCATTATTTGCTGTTCTTCAAACTACCTAGGCTTGAAAATATTTGGGTAGAGAGGTGGTAACTACACTGAGAACCTGATCCAATGATACTTTCAGAAAAAATATTTCACTTCTACCAACAGAATAGAAAACAGTTTGCCCCAAAGTAGCTTTGTATCAAATTCCCAGTGCAGTTCCCGAGAAGTCCACCACCCCAGCCCTAATATATGCAGCATAGACAGCTTAAAGAATGGGAAACAGGGTATCCTGAAAGATATAACATATTTTTCCGTTTATAAGATGACCCAATGTATAAGACAACCCCGCCTTTTCTAACCCCAAATTAGAAAAAGCAAGGATCAAAGGGCTCCATTTTTGCTAAGCCCCATGCCTTGGCAAAAGGCAAGGCAAGTGGCTGTCAAAGTGACTGCCACTTTTCCTTGCCTTTTGAGAAGGCACGGAGCTTAGCAAAAAGGAATGGAGCAACGACTCCCCTTGCTTTTTGCTAAGCCAGGGTCCCTTGCATTTTGAGAAGGCATGGAGCTTAGCAAAAAGGAAGGGATCAATGACTCCCTTTCCTTTTTGCTAAGCCACCCCCCCGCATGTGCCCTTGCCTTTTGAGAAGGCATGGAGCTTAGCAAAAAGGAAAGGAGCAACGCCTCCCCTTCCTCTTTGCTAAGCCATGTACCTTCGCGAAAGAGCTGCCTTCCATGTATAAAATGACCCTCAATTTTGTCTCAAATTATTTAAGGAAAAAGTGTTGTTTTATACACGGAAAAATATGGTAATAGTAGCAGAAATTGCAAAATTCGGAACAGAGCTTGCAAAAGTGATTTCTGAGACCAGAGTTCATCAAAGCTCTGAGCCAGCAGGATCATCTGAAACCTCACGTTTCAGGGAAAAATGGATTGAATTTGCAGCAACTCCTCTTGTTTATTTTATTTATTTGTTTATTTATAATATCTTTACCTCACTTTTGTCCTTAAAAGAGCCCAAGGTCGCCTACAACAATTAAGAGAAAATATTTTAAATCTAAAAACAATAAGTATGCAAATATTGAAAAAAGCTTAAGCCAGTATTATATCAAAATCAGTCAATAAAATAAATATTAAAAACACATTTAAAAGCAGAGCAGAACTATCCATTTTTTTAAAAAAAATCCATCTCAGTCCATCAGCCACTAAAGAAAAGCCTGCCTGAAGAGAAAGGTCTTTGTCTGCTTGCGGAAGGACAGCAAAGATGGGGCCAGGCTGGCTTCCCATGGGAGGCAGTTCCAGAGTCTGAGAACAGCAACAGGGAAGGCCCTCTCCTGTGTCCCCACCAAACGCACCTGTGAGAAAGACTTCCCCTGATGATCTTAATGCCCTGGCAGGCTCATAGAGGGAGATAGCTTGGACCCAACCTGCTTATTTATTTATTTACTGGATTTCTATCCCACCCATCTGGACCAAAGATCTACTTTTTAGGGTTTTATAGGCTAAAACCAGCACTTTGAATCGTGTCCAGAAATGGTGCAATGGGAACCTTCTCAAGGCCTACTAAAGTACAAAATGTCACCTAACCCAGTTCTTTTCTGATCCAATTTTTTTACAGATACATGGCATCATGAGGATGTACAGGATTTTCTCCTCCCCCAGTTGTTTGCTTCCCACCTCCTACTATCATTTCTTCATTTTGTTTTCTCCTTTACACCTCTACACATGTGGATATAGGTTTCCTTTTGGTTTAACCTGTAGCTAATATATTACATTTTGCCTGCACTGAAAACAGGAAGGGGTTGTAAATGGGATGTACAGGAAAGATAATGGGGTGGATGTAAAAATCCCCTTTCAAAATTGGTCTGTCTTTCAGGCTGCCATTGATCTTACATCCACATGCCTTAGAAGTAAGCACTAATGAACTCTGTGGTACTTCTAACTGGGCATGAAGACACCCAAACTGTTAACTGATGTTTAAAAAAATAAAATATCTTTACATCAAAGGGAAGTTTTCTGCAAATATTCAGTTATCCTCAGGTCCATTTTTAAAAACACAGAACCCAGTTAGTTTCTCTGAACTTTGGAAAGCTGTTATTTAATTCTGCCACTGCTATAGTAATTTAATAGTAGTAATAATTGATGTTTTAAAAATATGTTTTTTGCACACAAAGCACTTTCCATGCCTTAGTAATCAACCTTTAGAGAAAGCCCAACTCTAGAATCAGATCGGTGAGGATTGCTCCCATTTTGAATACAAAATGCGGGCACTCAGTATCTCAAGCACTTTCCAAACTTTGGTGAATCGTTATTCCCAGAAGCCTTCGCTTGTTGAATAACTGGATCTTCTGTTATTGTTAAAGCCACAAGAGATCTGTCAGGAGAATATCTAGTTTAAAGGTGATAAAGAAAAGGAGTTTTAGAACTGCCCAAAGAACCCTCAGCTTCAATCTATGCACTCCCACATTATCTGAAAACTATCTAAAAAAAAGAAGGCAACATCTTTTTTTTCCTTATCAGTAAAGTAACATCATTGCTTTCGACCAGGCTATGAGTGCTATGGGTATGTGTCTGCATGTGTGCTGGTTCAACCCTTTGTTGGCCCATCACATCATTTACGTCATGAGCAAACAATCTGCTATCTATGTGTTGAGAATAAGATTAAAACAGTTTAGGGTGGGGTGGTGTTTCCTGATGCCTGGTCATGAGGAGAGTCAGGAGAGGTGAACCCTGAACAAACACTGGAGTTGAAGGAAGGAAGAGACACAGAGAGAAATTTGAGTGGGATATGAGAGGAGAAATAGCACTGGAATGAGTAGGCCAAAGTGTTTTCCAACCCAAGAGAAACTGATATAGAGGTAATGATCACCAGGACTGAGACCCGGAAATATCATTACAAACAAAACTGTTATGTGAAAGGGAAGGGGAGCAGTGGTGGATTGAAGCCTGGGCTTGAAGCCCTGACATTTTCTGATTTGCAGGGACTGTGACATCATCTGCCACCTCCCACAGGCTTCCCTTTTCCCTCTGAATTTAGCTGCAATCCTCAGAAGAGCAGAATATTGTTTCCTTTTATCCCTGTTGTAATGCATGGTATTTGAAAGTGCTTCCTGGCAGAAAGGGCACTTAGGTAAAGGTTCCCCTTGACATTTAATCAGTCGTGTTCGACTCTAGGGGGCGATGCTCATCCCCGTTTCCAAGCCGTAGAGCCAGTGTTTGTCCGAAGACAGTTTCCGTTGTCACGTGGCCAGTGTGGCTATATACGGAACACTGTTTACCTTCCCACCGAGGCGGGACCTATTTATCTACTCACATTTTCATGCTTTCGAACCGCTAGGCTGGCGAGGAACTGGGACAAAGCAATGGGAGTTCACTCCGTCACGTGGATTTGATCTTACGACTGCTTGTCTTCTGACCCTGCAGCACAGGCTTCTGTGGTTTAGCCCGCAGCGCCACCACGTCCCTCGCGGTGCCACCACGTCCCTGAAGGGCACTTAAGAACCATTAACTTTACAAATGCTCCTAGTTTTTACTAGTATGTCGCAGGAAGGGAGAGAAGAAAAAGACCCCTGATTGAGGGTGTTTAACACAGAGGTAGGTTAGTATAAGCTTAGGTGCAGATTTTAAGTTGGCTTGATCCCACTGAAGGAGAGGGGAATACAATATAGCCAGAATTACATTGGGTTAAAAGAACAGTGGGGTCTTCCTTATATTCATTTCTGTTCAATCCTTACATTTTCCATTTGATGGGCAGGGCACACAGAGGGAATATAGGAGATATTAGAATTTGAAGAGAGATTCCAGTGTATGTCTCTTTGTTGTTTCCATAATCTTTGTGATGTCCATAACCAACAGGTTTTCATTAACACCTGTGATATAATATGGACCACCCTTTGTTTCACAGTGAGATTTGCTAGCATTGAGACAGGAAAATATAAGGCACATGAATTCTAGCAAAATAACTATAAGTAAGGCAATAAAATTTACTGATTTAAGTAATCATTATAGGCAAAATTGGTTAATCATAATAAGCTATCACTCAAACTGGATTGTGAAATAGCAGAGTTTGTGTTGTGTTTCTCTGTCTTGGCTCCTGCTTTCCCTTTTTCAGAGCAATTGGTTAATCATAATAAGCTATCACTCAAGCTGGATTGTGAAATAACAGAATTTGTGTTGTGTTTCTCTGCCTTGGCTCCCGCTTTTCCTTTTTTCAGAGCGGCTACCAGATATCATCATGGAAATCCTTCCCCACTTGGAAATGACACTGTTTACTTCACAGTGTTGGATGCTCAAGGGAATGCCTGCTCTTTCATTAACAGCAACTATATGGGATTTGGCACAGGGCTGGTGCCAGAAGGCTGTGGATTTACATTACATGTGAGAAAAAAAAATCAACTCTGTGTGTGTGTGTGTGTGTGTGCGCGCACACATGTATACATTCATGTGTGCAAGGCTGGCCCAAGACAAGTTGGTGTCTAAGCAAAGGATAAGAGATTGTTTCCATCTTGACCAATCCATGTATAGGTCTGGATGAACCTCTTCTGCTGCATCTGACAATAGCATGTTTGGTTAGGGGTTACAGGGCAGGCCACATGCCATTCATAGATCTGCTCTCCAATGCTTTGCAGCTGTCCCCAGCCTTATTTGTTGCCTGTAGCAACTGCTTTGCTTTGCTTGAAATGAGAGGAAGCCTGTATTGTATGTATGTATAGAGAGTTAGTATTACTTAAAGACTGTCCTGAGGAAGTGGCTTTGGTGGCAGATTGGATCTTCTTCTGACCTTGTGAAGGCTGGTGAAACATACCCTCAGCATTGGTGGCTTTCTGGATGGTGTGCCAGTTGAAGCTTTTCCAGTTGGTGCTTTGGCTGGGAAGAGAATGTCACACTTTGCTCACCTTCTCTACAGGCAGAAGGCGAAGGAGGCTTGAATCTAGATCCTATCATGTAGCAGTTCGACAGCTAACTTGGTCCTGAGGTTGGCTTTGTCCTCAGCAGTAACTTAGACATGAAGGAAAATGCATGTGCCCTATCATTAGGCAATTAACCTGTTTTCCAGCTCACAGTGAGATCTTGCCAAAGTTACATACTTCAACAATCAGATTTGCAAATGAAACTTGTGTTTTCCTTCCAATGACCCATCCCAAAACAAAGCACGCTAAATGCAAAATCTGTATGTGAGGAAAATCTTAAATGTCTTGAATCACTAGAGTAGTGGTTCCCAACCTTGGTTACCCAGGTATTCCTGGACTAAAACTCCTAGAAGCCTTCACCACTAGTTGTGCTGGCCAGGAATTCTGGACATTGTACTCCAAGACATCTGGGGACCCCAGGTTGGGAACCACTGCACTAGAGGGAGCACATCATCTAAATATTTAGCACTTGCTAAATGCTCCACTTCCCCTTATCCCAGTGCAGGGATAGGTAAGGAGGTACTGTACCCAGCACACTCATCTGGTCCCTTGGGAGGAAGACCCAACCACCTTTCAAAGTGGTGTCTTAATATATATTGCTTCCCTTCTCAATTTCCTCCTCTGGGGAAGATGAAGATTGATTGAATCAGTCTTCTAAACTGTGGGGATTTTTAATCTCCTGACCTAATCTGTTATGTTTCTTTTCCAAGTTGGGTGCAGCAGGGTTGGGCAACTTTGGCAGGTCTGGAGGGGTATCTGTTTTTTCTCCCTAAGATCTAGCTAGAAGTGGCTAGATATTTGGGAAACGCACCTTTGAATAATAAAACAAACCATTATTTTATTGTTTGTTGTAGGTTTTTCGGGCTATTTGGCCATGTTCCTGTAAAGATGCCGGCCACAGAGACTGGCGAAACATTAGGAAGAAAACCCTCCAGAACACGGACAAATAGTCCAAAAAACCTACAACAACCATCGGATCCCAGCTGCGAAAGCCTTCGAGAATACATTATTTTATTATTTTATTTAGGTGATGGAAGCAAGGCTGTGCCTTTTTTTAAAAGGTGAATTGCCACCTCAGGAGCCTTCCAGCAATGGCAGATGACTTCCTTCCTCTGAGAAAAGAGGAGGCCAGGGATGTGCTGTGGGCTGCCTGTGGCATGAATGGTTGTTGTTTTGCCAGTTTCTGGCTTTTCTTTTGTAAGATCCCTTGGATCCCTTTATTGGGTTAAATGTGGGATGTAACTACAAGAAATAAATGGATTCATGAATGAGTTGTATTGCATATGCTCTTTTCAGAACAGAGGAGCTAATTTTTCACTAAAGCCTGACCACCCAAACTGCCTAGCACCAAGGAAGCGGCCGTATCACACCATTATACCTGCACTGGCCACTGCGGCAGATTCAGGAGAGCTCCTGTGTTCCTTTGGAGTAATGGGTGGATTCATGCAGCCCCAAGGACACATACAGGTGAGTCTCTGAAGGGTCTTGATTTCTTCGTCCATGTGTTATATGCAAATCCCCCAGAAGGTTCTGTCCTCTGTAGATGTATTATCGAAAAATAAGCCACACATTTGCATGCAGATTTAATTCAGTTGGAAGCGAATTAGCACTTTATTTTGCTTTTCTGGTACTGACATCCCCCACATGATCAGGTAAGTGCATGGTCTGAAATAGAAGCAGTTTACCAGGGAGGAATGGACAGAAAGTTATGCATGAGCTTATGCTACAGAGCAGGATGTCTGCCATTGTTTTAATGCAGGAATAAAGCAGGATGTCTGCCATTGTTTTAATGCAGTAATATTCCTTATTAGGAATAATGTGCCTCATGGTGCAGTGGTTAAATTGCTGTAATGCAGCCAAGACTGTGCTTACATGCCTCATGGTGCAATGGTTAAACTGCTGTAATGCAGTCAAAACTGTGCTTACAACCCAGCGTCCAACCCCAGGTAGCTGGCTCAAGGTTGACTCGGACCTCCATCCTTCCGAGGTCAGTAAAATGAATACCCAGCATAATTAACTTATAAACCTCCCAGAGAGTGGTTGTTGTGGGTTTTTCAGGCTCTGAAAATCTCCCTCTATTATCACGTGTATTATATTTATGTCCCAAGGTGAATATGTCCTAGCAGGAATGACATCAATGGTGCATTTGAATGAACAGAGCATGGACAGAGTTCCTACTCCAGTCCTCTGAAGATGCCGGCCACAGAGACTGGCGAAATGTCAGAAAGAGCAGCCTTCACAACATGGCCAAAGAGCCCAAAAAAACCACAACAACCTTCAGATCCGGCCATGAAAGCCTTCAAGAATGCCCAAAAACCCCACAACAACCATCAGATCGGGCCATGACAGCCTTCGAGAACACTCCCAAAGAGTGCTTTAAGCACTATAGGGTGGTATATAAGCAGCACGCTTTGCACTGCTTTGCTTTGTTACTTTCTTTACTTCTTCCCATATGGTGAAACTAAAATATTGTTTATTTTCTATCATTTAATCTTTGTCCTCTTCTTGTTGCTTATTTATTGGTTTCATCATCATCATATTTTCAAATTATTCACTGACCAAAGTCTTTAACCAGCATACAAATAATTAAAAAGGAATAATCAGATTAAAAAACCAAGTCAGATAAAAGCAAGATAAAGTGTGTCTCACTAGTAATAGCGAGTAGTATGTTTTGATCTGTTTTTAAATTGTTTTAAATTGCTTTTGGCTGCACTCTGTGCAGCGATCTCATGATACAAGGGGAGGGCTTTCTCTTCTGTGGTGCCCTGATTACGGAATGTTCTTCACAAATGCTGATGTCTTTTTGGTGTCTTGCTAAAGCACAGCTGCTAGGCAAATCATTTGGGGTTCAAAGATTTTTGGCTTGAGTAACTTGGGAGTCAAGTGTACAGTTTCCAAATGTTTTTAAATTGCCTTCTCTCTTTGAAAGTTTCAAATTGCTTTTTGCTATACCTTGTACAAAGATCTCTTGATAGAAGGTGGAATATAAATATTCCAGAAAAATAAATGATACAGGAGCAGTGTATATTGAAAACATTGATGCTAGGCAAAAATGTAAAATCATGAATATGCTTCTAAACTACATGAGAAATCAGAACAAAAGTCCAAATGCTATGCAAGCTTCTTTGGGAAGGACATTCTACAGACAGGGAACAAGTATTCTTGCAACTACCAGTTTTCCATTACAGTCAATCCTCGACTTGCGAACTTAATCCGTTCCGGAAGGAAGTTTGTAAGTCGAAAAGTTCGTAACTCAAATCAGCATTTCCCATAGGAATGCACTGAAAACCAATTAATCCGTTTGGATGTTTTTGGTTCTTAGGTCAAGGGGCGGTTTGTAAGTCAAAGCATTAGTTCCCATAGGAACTAATGCAAAGCTGGTTAATCTGTTCCTACCACTAGGGGCAGAATTTTTTTCTTTTTCTTATTTAACCTAAGATGGCGTAGGTTAAAAAAAGGGCAGGAAACCACGAAGAGAACGAACGAACACTGTTTTAAAAAAACACTTTTTAAATTGAGCACCTTTTACACCAAAACAGGCACCTTTTCCACCAAGCACCTTTTAAATCAAACAAGCAGATTTTAAAGCAAACAAGCATGTTTTTACCTAAGCCAGTTTTAACTCAAACCGAGCACCCTTTTACCCAAGCACTGTTTAACCCAAACAAAGCACCTTTTAAACTAAATTTTACATTTAAAAATGACAATACCAGGCAGTCCCAGGTCTCTCTTCCCACTCTCTAACTGCTTGGACGAGCGAGGAAGCAGACAAGCAGCCACTTTGCTAAATGAAAGTTCAAATTTCCCACTTTCCCTGCCTTCCCTGCACTTTTTTAATGTTCATAACTTGAATCCAAGCTCGCAGGTCGAGTCCATATTTTCCTATCAGAGCGGTTCGTAAGTCAAAATGTTCGTAACTAGGGCCGCTTGTAAGTTGAGGGTTGACTGTATTTGCTCAGGGCATCTCATGAAAGCAGCAGATGAAGACCTTATTGTCAGTGCTGGGCGAGTAAATAGGGAAGGAGATGACACATTCACAGCGTTCATTTAAGTTGCTAGGATTAAATAAGACTATAGTGAAGCTCCTATTACCTTGATTGCCATATTGTTAATATATTTGCTATTGCTATGAAAACACAGTGAAAGCTATTTTATCTAAGTTGATTCTACTTTGAGACTAGAAAACTCCCAAGTGATATGCTAGAGGTATGCAAGAGATTGCCCTTTCCTTATTCCTTTTACCACATTTCTTTTCTTTTTCTCCCCCTCTTGTATTTATGCAGGTCCTATTGAACATGTTGGAATTTGGAATGAATCCACAAGAGGCTTTGGATGCTGCTCGTTTTTGTGTGGAATATGATAAAAAAGGTGAAACATTGTTTTTTTTAAAGGAACAAATATACATGACAAAACATACATCCTCATTTTATCTTAACAAGCTGAAGAGTATAATTTGTCAAATTCTGTTTAAACAGCAATACTAATTTTGCTAACATAGTGCTCCAGATGCAGAGAGATTTTTGGCTATACATATTCTCTACTTGAAGGGCTCATTCTCACTATAGTCTTGTCCCTGTTCTATGGTTGCTTTGGGTCATTTTGGGTTTTTTTAAAATTCAGATTGGAATTCATCATCCCAGTATTGACATCCATAGATGGAGAGGGTATTTTTTGCTGGATGTACTGGGATGCACTACCACCCCAACCCACCTGTCTACAATCATTTGGAATTGATACCTTGGGTTTCACTCCAAACACAGATTGCTCTCTCCTTTTGCTTATCTTCTCCACTGTTCAGTGGGGGGTTGGTTGGGTTTGCTGCGAGAGGCTACTAGGACTACTGCTACATCTACTACTGCTGTTTTGAATCAAGTCTGAAAGATGCAGCAGTATGTTATCACTGTATATAATATTTTTAAGGTGTCATGGGATCGATCTTCTGTTGCATTTACTTCTGCTTTTAGCACTATTTTTTTCATATACTTGAACTGGAACTTCACCTATGACAAGATGTGATGCAGTCCTGTAAATATTTACTTGGGAATGCATTACTGTAGTCAATAGGCCTTATTCTGATAGATAACCAAGGAGTGATAACACTGTGATTGGCTGACGGACTCTGTAGAGGACCCCTTCTGTCATGTAATAATTTTAAGGCAGCTGCTCTGCTTCTTCCCAGTCATCTGGTTCTGTCAATAGTTCTGTGGAAATCTACAGGAATCATCATCATTATCTTAGAAGTGCAAAGCTGGAATGGACCCTATAGATTATTGAGTCTAGCCCCTGTCAGGGAAGCGCACTGGGGAACTGAACTCTGAGCCTTTGGCTCTGCAGCCAGATACCCGAACCACTGAGTTATCTAGCAGTTCTTTTATTCTAATGCTCTAATTATCTTTAATGGAATCACAAATTCAGTCTTGAAACTACTTCTTTAGTTCTATTTATTTTTGGATCAGATGACATTTATAAAACAGTTGGCAACTAAATACAGTATTGCATATTTAAAATTGCAATCTTGAATGCTGCCTATTGTTTTTATAGGCCATGTATGGCACGTGTCCCTGGAAGATGGTATCCCTCAGTGCATCACAGAAGAATTGAGAGCCAGGGGTCATGCTGTCACAGCACCTGTAACTGGGCACAGCAGGAGCATGTTTGGAAGAGGTCAAATTATCGCCAAAGGAGACTGGTGGAGGCGGACACAGCTGTCTTCTAAAAATGTAATCTGGGCTGGATCTGACCCTCGAGCTGATGGGTGTGCATTAGGATACTAGTCTTGAAGGCAAAAAAAAAATTATTTGTGTTGAGCATGTAGAAATCAAATCCCAGAATGATACTATACTGGAAAACATGAAGCTAAATCTGTTTGATTCATTATCTCAGTCTTGGTGGCATAGTATATAATTTATAAAGGAGCCTAATGGTGTAATGGTTAAACTGCAGTACTACGATCAAGCCTCTGCTGACAGCCTTAGTTCAGTCTGGACAGATCAGGGCTCAGGTAGCCGGCTCAAGGTTGACTCAGCTTTCCATGGTTCTGAAGTTGGTAAACTGAGTTACCAGCTCCCAGGAGAGGGGGCAAAGTGTACCCCGCATTGTTAAATTGTAAACCACCCAGAGAGTGCTTTAAGCACTGTGGGGTGGAATATAAGCAGCACACTTTCCTTTGCTTTTTTCACAGAACTTAAGTTTCAGTCACAGGTGTCACAACTAGTGGTTCTAGAGCACAACTCAGTTGGGTTATCTAAGTCAGATTTCAGCTGGACGTGATACATTCCAGGGACTCAAAGTCAGACAACTTCACATTCTCACACTCCAGTGTTTTGATATGGAAAAGAATAATGTTGTTTGAAGCACTGCAGATACATAAATACACAGGTGGTCTATGTGTAGAGACGAAATTCATAGTTGGGCAATACCTTTATTAGCACCAACTGAATTGCCATAAAAATTTGCAAGGTTTAATTTCTCTAGAGCTCTTTATCAAGTTAGGTAGTGAAAAAGAAGAGGGGGGCATAGAAATGGAAAAAAAACACACAAACATTATACCAGGTTGTTGTTGTTTAGTCATTAAGTCATGTCCGACTCTTTATGACCACATGGACCAGAGCATGCCAGGCCCTTCTGTCTTCCACTGCCTCCCGGAGTTGGGTCAAATTCATGTTGATAGCTTTGATGACACTGTCCACCCATCTCATCCTCGGTCGTCCCCTTCTCCCCTTGCTTTCACACCTGTCCAACATCAGGGTCTTTTCCAGGGAGTCTACTCTTCTCATGAGATGTTCAAAGTATTGGAGCCTCAGCTTCAGGATCTGTCCTTCCAATGAGCACTCAGGGTTGATTTCTTTCAAAATGGATAGGTTTGTTCTCTTTGCAGTTCAGGGGACTCTCGAGAGTCCTCTCCAGCAGCACAATTCAAAAGCATCAATTCTTCAGTGGTCAGCCATCTTTATGGTACAGCTCTCACTTCCATACATCGCTGGATGGAAAAGCCATCGCTTTGACTATGCGGACAAGGTGATGTCTCTGCTTTTTAAGATACTATGTAGGTTTCTCATCACTTTCCTCCCAAGAAGCAGGTGCCTTTTAATTTTGTGGCTGCTTTCACCATCTGCAGTGATCATGGAGCCCAAGAAAATAACATCTGTCACTGCCTCCTTATCTTCCCCTTCTATTTGCCAGGAGGTGATGGGACCAGTGGCCATGATCTTAGGTTTTTTGATGTTCAGCTTCAGAACATTTTTTGCGCTCTCCTCTTTCACCCTCATTAAAAGGTTCTTTAATTCCTTCTCACTTTCTGCTATCATCTGCATATCTGAGGTTGTTGATATTTCTTCCGGCAATCTTAATTCTAGCTTGGGATTCATCCAGTCCTGCCTTTCTCATGATGTATTCTGCATATAAGTTAAATAAGCAGGGAGATAATATACAGCCCTGTCGTACTTCTTTCCCAATTTTGAACCAATCAGTTGTTCCATATCCAGTTCTAACTGTTGCTTCCTGTCCCACATATATATTTCTCAGGAGATAGGTAAGGTGGTCGTCGTCGCCGTCGTCATCTAGTCGTTTAGTCGTGTCCGACTCTTTGTGACCCCATGGACCAGAGCACGCCAGGCCCTCCTATCGTCCACCGCCTCCCGGAGTTCCATCAATTTCATGTTGGTTGCTTTGCAGACACTGTCCAGCCATCTCATCCTCTGTCGTCCCCTTCTCCTCTTGCCTTCACACTTTCCCAACATCAAGGTCTTTTTCCAGGGGTAAGGTGGTCAGGCACTCCCAATTCATTAAGATGCCATAGTGGACCACAACAAACTCTTACCATAGTTTGTGTGGTCCACACAGTTAAAGGCTTATATTTGACTTTACTTTAAGATGCAAATCATATAACCAGTCTATGCCTATAGCTGACACATTGGAGGTTGTTGTATTTCTTCCGGCAACCTTAATTCTGCTGTGGGATTCATCCAGTCCAGCCTTTCACATTATGTATTCTGCATATAAGTTAAATAAGCAGGGAGACAATATATAGCCTTGTCATACCCCTTTCCCAATTTTTAATCAATCAAGGCCAGGTAAGAGGTTGTAATTTGCATCTAGATCTAGATGGAGACTGTGGACCGAATCAGTCTCTGGTACTAGATGCACACGAACAAAACAAATAAGAGAAACAGCAGTCCACTGCAAAATTGATAATTCTGACTGGTCAATTCTTCTCTAAAAATGTTTCAGGAAGCATTTTTACAATAAATATATATATATATTACATTTCTAGACAATTTCAGTATAATTGTGACAATTCCAAAGCACCTCAGTATTGTTTTAATTTTATTTTGCAACTAATATCTTGTAATACAGGAAAGAAATCTATAATAATCTATTTTGTATTGATCAGCCTGCATTTTTAATGTAATATTTCTGAAATGATTTTTATGGCATGTTCTGTTATAATTTGTTACTTAATAAAGAATTTCTTGTGTTAATGGAGCCAAATGCATCTCAGGATGATGGGGGTAAAATAGCCCATTGCCTTTGTTTGGATCTGCTTTCCAGCAGCAACAGAGCGTGAAAATCCACCTTTTGCTTAGTGGGACCCATGTCCAGGTTGGACCTTTTTGGACCAACTGAAGGTCTGTTACTTTCTGGGGCTAAGCTGGAGCGATTTCCTTGTAGACAGAAAGGTCACTTTAAGAGAGGTTGCTCCCATTAAAGCTACCTTTTCTGCTGTGCTCAGGTGTGTGCAAAGGTAAAAGGTGACGGAAATAGGATTAGTACTCTAAATGCAGCTTTTCAGCAAATGGCACACAGAGACAAAGAAAACTATTATAATAGCCAGTACAAAGAAATAGAGAAAAACAAAATATGAAAAATCAAGAGATCTCTTTTATAAGACCCAAATAATCAAAGGGAAAATTAAGCCAACTTTAGGAATGCTGAAAGACCAACAGGGAATCACACTTTCTGACCAGGGTAACATAAAGAGAAGGTGGAAAACATATACTGAAGACCTATATAGAAGAGAGAAAAGTATGACAGACTCATTTGAAGAAGAATCTTATTATGAAGAACCTGCAGTTCTAGAAAGTTAAATAAAAATTGCCTCTGAAAGCACTGGGAAGAAATAAGTCACTAGTGGTAGATGGGATACTGATAGAACTATTTCAATCCACAGAGACAGAATCTGTCAAATTCCTAATAAGAATATGACAACAAATATAAGAAGTCGAAAAAAGGCTCACATACTGAATAGAGTGATGCTTAAGGTGTTGTGACAAATATAAACTTTTACTTTATATGGAGGGATAAATGTCCAATGTTCAAGCTAGATTCTGAAAAGGAAAAGGCACTTAAGATCATATTGCAAATATCTGCTGGCCACTCGAGTGCAACAAAGAATTTCAGAAGATCATCCTATGCTTTATAGACTACGGCATAGCCTTTGATTATGTCAGTCATGAGAAACTATGGGTTGTTCTTAAAGCAATGGGTGTGTCTCAGTCAGCTCTTGAGTTTACAAGAACTGACTGAGGACAGTTGACGGCAGGACATTTTGGCAATTGTTCATCCATGGAATTCGGAGTGACCTGATATCATGTAACAACAACAAGCAGAGTGTATTGTAATACCTATTTGATAACTGTTCAAATATTTATTGCTTATTAGCAATAAAACATAAGATATAACTGTTTGAAAATGGCAATTAATTGCCTATACCTGTATATGTGAATACAAAGTGAAGTGATTCATATCTGATTATTTAACCATTATTTCTACATATTTGTATGCGTCCAAATAGTGGAAAAAACCATGAAAGTGGGGAAAATAAAGATCTTTGATTTGACAGAGATGTGTGTGTGTGTGTGTGTGTGTGTGTGTGTGTGTGTGTGAGAGAGAGAGAGAGAGAGAGAGAGAGTTTCATCCATTACTGCTTGACCTCCAGTGTATAGACAAAGCTCCCATCAGCTTCCTTCCTTCCTGCTCTCTGTTGGGAACTGTGCAGTTTACTCAAATTTACTTCACAAAATGATTGTTGAAGTAGAAGAGGAATACACTGCTCCAGCAGGCAGAGTAGACCATCACTACCTTCTGTGTCATGTTTGCCACCCACCCCATCTGGAACATAGGTTGGCACAGTGAAAAGAAAGAAAGAAAGAAAGAAAGAAAGAAAGAAAGAAAGAAAGAAAGAAAGAAAGAAAGAAAGAAAGAAAGAAAGAAAGAAAGAAAGAAAGAAAGAAAGCCAACAACAGACATAAGACCGGTGAAGTGAATATAAACTACAGGAAGCCAAATATTATTTTTTTCAAGCATTAACTCATTATAACATAAATGTTCATCATCATTTAAGATCCTTAAGCATTTACTTGCCCTTATGAAACAAAATAGGGTAATGATAGGACTGAGCTATTAGATGTTTATGGTGACGAGGAAATATAGTTGTTCCAGTTTAGCCATAAATAGAAGCAAACAGAAACTGAGACATCATAGGACAGGGAAGCCCATAATGCAGGAGTGCCTAACCATCTATAAACCCGATGTACTCATGTTCAGAACTTCAATTTTGCTGAACACATCAAGAATGTGCAGGCTCTAAGACTTGAAGCTATAATTCTCTGTATGTACGTATATTCATGGCAGCGAAGCTCACTGAAACGTACTTCTATATGATCAGGCCGGAGGTGGGAAAATACTCATTTTTTAACATTTTAACTCACCTTTTGCTGGGACATATTTCTGTTATAGGGAGCACAGGAGTAATAGCTACTCATCCTCACAAATG